TTACTGAGATTATAAATATATGCGTCTATAGTATAGATATAGTATACCAATTTCTTTCTAACAAGGTTCAATAGCTATAAAATAATTATTTAATCATAATTTAGATTTGTAGAGATACAATAAAGAGATGCTAGAATGGTCTTCCATTGTTCTTAATATACCCATGTTCCACTTTCTCACCCCGTGCCTTAAATACCATAGCAAAATATTCATTTTTAAAGTATTAATTAATGATTAAATTAATAATTCTCAAGTTAGTTTGTCACCACCCCATGAATAAAGCTAATGATTTCATTGATGTTAAGATCGGGCAAGAACTAAACACAGAACTTACTTTTAATAACTGAATTTTAATCTGTATATCACAGATACTGTCCATAATGTGCATTTGTGATTCTGCAAAGTTTGAGAACCCTGGATTGAACCATTAATATCAAGATTTCTTCTGAATCCATGTTAAGATGCTAAAACAACAAATTATTGAGTATTAACAGATGTATTCTGCTGTTCTCTGCTAAAAAGAATTATTTTCTAGTAACGAGAGAGAGAGAGAAATGAATTGATTGTAAAGATCCCTTCAACATAGAATCCCGTAATGTGGGGGAGGGTACAGGCCCCTATGTTAAAGAAATAAAGTGAGATACGTGCTACCGTAAAGCATTGTGTACAGTTCTCTTCTGTGCTGTGGTGTGTTCAGTCACTGAAAAGCAAGAAATCCTCACAGTTGCAGTGGCTTGTGCCCCTCATTTATCTTTCAGCAGCCATGTTTCTTACCTAGAAAACCCAAGTACTATATTAATTGGCTACTTTTGATCAAGTTGTGAGAGAGAAGGAGGAGGAGGAGGAGGAGGAGGAGGTAGAGGAAGAAAGGTTATTCCCACTCTGTAATTGGAGGATGTTGTTGTATGGCAGCTGTTCATTTCTGAAGATAGTTTAGCATCTCAGCCGGTTAGTTCATTGTTCCTCTCAGTTTTTAAGCAGGAGATGCAGGCAGCTTCCCTTTTCTGCTCTTAATCATTTACAGTTGTTTAAACAGTTGGTTAATTTTGGATGCTGCCTTGCAGTTCTCATGAATGAAAAGTGGCCTACAAATATTTTAATATGTAGATTAATAAAGCCTCTTATTTGAGTCTGGATTTTTCACAGACTGGAGGACTCCAAATA